GTTAAGAACGATCGACTTAAAGAATTTCTTACGATCTCGCATCGACGCGATCTCACTTTCCTGATCCTGTTTGCTGGGCCCCGCAGAAAAGATGCAAAGCCGTTAAACATCGAAGCGTGAACATAAAGCAGGTAACAAGAGGTTTTGCCAGTGTGAGACAGGTGGAACTTCTCTCTCTCTCTCTCTCTTTCTCTCTCTCTGGGAGAGCAAAGTCGTTTGCTCGGTAAACTAGCGGAAGCAAGAAGAGGCTAATATTTAAACAGTCACAAAAGTTTTTACTCAAAGATAACTTTAGACGCGTGTCAATATTTTATCTATCGGTGTGTAACATAAGAAATTTAGATGGGATTTGGTATTAGATAAAATTGCTTCTGATGACCATTTTTACCATAATTTTTTGTTTTAAATACTCTCTACAAACAAGCTAATATATATCTATGTAAAAATATACGGAGAAGTATGAAAGAACGAAAGAAAGAAAGAAAGAAAGCCTTTGAGTACACAAGACTCGGACCATTTCCTCGGCCTTAATGCGTGACGAAACGTTGTCACTCGTAACATACGTTTCTACTTAATCTTCTGAATCAGAATACTTCGTGATAATTTAGTTTAATCATATGCGACAATATATCCTTTACTGTCGAGAATTGTTTACCTTACTTGTTATCATTTTTAGGATCAATTAATTACAAATAATTAGATAAAAAGAAATTATTCGAATGAATATTAAAAATAATCGATCTTTTAAATGTTGAATTTGCAGATTGTCCGGTAGCACAATAGCGATCAGCAGCAGCGGTAACGGAGGCAGTGGAAACGGGAATAACGGCGGTGGAGGAGGAGGAGGAGGAGGAGGTGCTGGGGGAGGAGGTGGTGGTGGTGGTGGAGGAGGAGAAGGTGGAGGTACGAGCGGTGGCGGAAACGTTGGAGGGGGCGGGACCGCCGGAAACGGGATTTCCAGCGGGGATTTCCTCCGAAGGAGTCATCCCCTTTCGGAGCATACGAGCCTGCATCCCCCCTTCCGGATCAACTACATGGACCACCTTTATCATCAGCTTCAGGCCTCCACGCACAGTCCAAGCGCCTCGTTACACGGTAATTACCTTACTCTTGTACTTGTCTTCAGATAATTAGAAGGAGCTACGGCCCTCGGGGAATACGCACTTTCCTTTATTGTTCCTTGTCTCTGACAATTACTGTGGAAGATGTTTATAAACCTCTTCTCTTTCTTATTACAACATCTTTATTTGCACTTTACACTAACATTTCAAATGATTAATAATTAATTCATTCTACGAAATGATTAGTGGGATCAACTTTGATCGAGTTCTGTTCAATATCTCAAAGTACTTGGAACTTGACGAACGTAGACTTTGAAATCTCTCCTTGGTTACGCCTCTAGTTAAATTCTATCAAAAGGGCCCGCATTTCCGGCGGAAAATATATTCAATACTTCATACAAAGCGCTCTTGTTAAGGCTACTTCTTCTTCTTCTTCTTCTTCTGCATTCTCTCTTCTCTCTTGATACGGATCCATCTACCCGATGCTTCAAGATCTACTTCCCTTTTGTAAACAATGATGATACACGATATTGTTTTTTAAGTATAAAATCATTCGCTGTTATTAATCATGCTGTAATTTTGTATTTCGTAGGACTGGGTGGTTTGGGGCCAGAGTATATACTCCATGCAACAGGACCATCTAGTACACTAGCATCGTCAGAGTTTCCTTTTTCGATTGACGGTAAGAATATTATTTATAATAACAAAATATTTTAAATACAAATATGTGTGCCGATGATAATAATTTACAGTAATAATTACATCAGATATCATACTCCTTTTAATCAACGTAGACATATTCGGATTAAAAATAAAAGAACAAAAAAGAGAAATATATTTAAAAATATTCAAATTGAATACAAATGATATTCTTACAACTTCATAAGGATGTATATTACATAATGAAAAGAGGTTTATGCATAAAAGCTTCTGGAATAAATGAATCGTGTTAAAAGGCCTTTTTTAACGGGCAATTTTATAAACCCGTAAAGATCAGGTTGGTTCTAAAAATTCAGAGCCCGTTCTATAATTCGACCGTTTCTACGAATAACCCCATGGAATTCGAGCTGGAAGTTAACCTTGCGTTGATCTATTCAATAGCGATGAAAAAATTCGATAAGGATAAGCGTAGAGAGCGATATTCGACACCGATATCTTGTTTCCCTCTTCACATGGATAGAAAAAGGATAAGAGGGGTGAAAGAATGAGACAGGAATAGGATGATCGTACTTGGGTCTTCTTTAACGGCTGCGATATCTTATCTCATTTTTTATAATCAATTTGAAAAAATGATCCAGTAAACGTACCGAGTAAATTTACGATCGATCAAGCAATTAACACAAGTTACATATCTCTTCGAAACTTTCTCTCTCGCTTAACCTTAAACATTTGATATAATTCCGAATTATCTTGAAACGATCTTTACCTTTCCTTTCTTTTCAAAAGAAAAACATACCTTGGAGATTGGTYAAGATAGAAGATAGGGAGAGAGAGAGAGATAGCATAGAGGATAACGAAAGTGGAATGTCTTCAAATTCTTGGAGTTTCGTCACGTTGTCGATCGCTACCAGGTTGGACACTTGCCAGTCGAGTCAAGCCGAAGCATGCTGTTTTGCGTGCGGAGGAATTATGTGTGCCAGCTAGCCGTAGGTGTAGTAGCGCTTAACAGCAGGTAGGAGATCGACCGGTTAGGAGGCCGAGAGGCTAAAAGACGACTGAAAGGGTAAACGGGGCCTCGTTAACCGCTACCTCTGCATAATTGAATCGACTCGGAGCGACATGACCTCATTAACACCTTAGCGCCTACCCTACAGGTTGTCTCACAATACTTCTTCTTCTACTCGATATCTACATATATCTTATCTTTCTTTATATAGAAAATATATAGAACTGAATTCAGTGTTACATTGTTGCTTTCCAATGACATTTCTAAATACTACATTTTTATATTTTGTGTTATATATATATATATATTCACGTCAAACATTTTTTCCAGATTTACATGTGACATAATAAACCTTGTGGTATTATTTTGTGTGTGATTTTTATGTGAGAAAGTATTTTGTTCGAATAATGAAATGTTTGAAAATGAAACGATTGTTTTTAATTGACGTTAGTTTTATTATGAGAGAATTTGAAGAGACCTGTATAAACGTAGCATGCACCGCGTAGCAGAGTAGGATCGGGTTGAACCGCGTCGATCGGAGTGGCCGATTGCACCAATTTACATGTCTCAATCCCATGTTCCCTTCGCGAGAAAGAGAAAAGAGCGGCGACTTACCGAGCCCCGTGTAGGCCTCATGGGATATCCTCGCATATCCTGGTCGAGAGGCACGATCTCATGCAAGAAAGACAGAGAGAAGAAAGATAGAAAGAAAAGAAAACCTAACAGAAGGTTCATTCGCATATTCATTAATCTCCGTTGGAACTTCTACAGCGACAAAGGGTCCAACGTAAAGGGTCTTACCCTGAGAATTGATAAGATAAGGGATACTAGTTTTTAGGCGAGAAAAAACAAACTTTGCAAACAAACGAATTTTTGATTGATTTTAACTTTGTATTTAACTTCATATTATTCAGAAGAAGAAGTACGAATGTTTGTGATAGATTAAAAAAATGAAATATTGTGTCGAACATCCAAGTAATATATCTGACAAGGTTGACTTTATAGGAAGCAGCTCGTTTCGTTAAATTAACGCTCATGACACGCTCGATCGAGATGAAATAAGAAGAAACAAAGAGAAAAAAGAAAAAAAAAAAAAGAGAGAAAAATGATTCCTTTGAAGTGGCAAAAGGGAAAGAAGATACGACGGTTAAAGGGCCATTCGCCTTAACATGATGTTGAAGAGACAGAGAAACGTAGCGCCGAATACAGTACCTTTCCGTCTTTTCCATTCGTTGTTGTTACTCCCCGTAAATTGGATCAACGGTCGAATTAATAACCTACGAAAGGATAAAAGATCGTTCTGGCGCATGGTGGCTTGGTTTTGCGGAATGGGAGAAGGACTAAGTAAAACAGAAAGAAAGAGAAATTGCACGGGAGAAGATGAGGGAGGCAAGAAAAGAAGCATAACTACCAAGCCACGAGTAACTCTATACCTGTTGTGCGTGAACGAGCGATCAACCAAGTGGAAAGCCAGGAGAAAGAAAGAAGAGGTTCCTTCTTCGTGATTCCCTTCTTTCTATATAGGGTTGCTCGTGGTCGAGAAGCAACAAGAGAGAAAGAGAGATAAAAGGAGTGGTTTTATCTTGCGGAATACGCGTGTATGAGAGAGAGAGAGAGAGAGAGAGAGAGAGAGAGAGAGAAAGAGAAAGAGAGAAAGAAAGAGTAGATGGAATCAAAAAGAAGAGGAGAAGAAAGAGGAGGGATGTATGGAAGTAAAACGTATAACCAACGATAGTGTACGTACAAGAAAGCCGCCACCGCGGCTTTAAGAAAGTGGTTTGTCGTTTGGGCTGCGGTCGAAAGCAAATCGCTGCTAAATCGTTCAACCCGCAAGATCAGCCCTCTTCTTCTTTACCTTTTATATACTCTTACCTTCCCGATTACTCACTGATTTCAATATTGTAGCATATTATGTTATTTACAATGTTGTTTACAATGAATATAATTATTATGATTTGTATTAAAAAATGTAGAAATATAAATAATTTTGGTTACAGTTTCAGCGTCATCGAGATTAGGAAGTCCAAGAGCATCGGCTATTAGAGCTAGCCGGAAACGAGCTCTAAGTAGTTCACCATATTCCGATCGCTTCGACATCGACAGCATGATTAGATTCAGTCCAAATAGTTTAGCGTCCATCGTCAATGGTTCGAGAAGTAGCAGTGCAAGTGGCAGTTATGGTCACTTATCGGCCGGTAAGATATTTTACTCCTATGATTTTCTAGTTTTTTCTCCTATCATCTTTCACGATGACGTTAATTATATCTTTTAACAAAATGAGCAAAATATAGTATATAAAGACATATATACATTATATACTAGGTAGATAAAATCTCTTGAAAGAAGGCAAATAGAAGAAATTTATTTGAGAAATTAAAGCTTCCTTGTCATCGTAATAATCATCCATGCTTTTAATGTTGTTGAACGATATATACATTGCCGTTGCATGTGATCGAGATGCAGTAGCAGTAAATTGAGGTTCTGGCCTCGCATGAAGACATTATACAAGTGGATTACGACCGGTATATGTGTATAGTAGTAGTAGTAGTAGTAGTAGTAGTTGGTAGTAGTAGGTAGCAGTACCTAACTATATACGGTAGAGAGTCAAGTGCTTACCCCAAATCGGGCCCACCTTGCTCGCGAATTAAGGGCCATCTGTAATTTGCGATTAAATGAAGTTATTAACGAATTTAAAATTCAAGAAGCGTAGCACGTCGATCGTTCTCCCTCTTGCGTGGCACTTACAAAGGCAGGAACGTTCACTTTTTAAATTTACCTTCGAAGCACGCTTCGAGTTGTTGGAGCTTCTGAAAATAAAACAAAAGAATATTAAAAAATACAAAAAGAACAAATTTGTAAGATAAATTGTAAGTAAGATTTACAATATGTATTATTTGAATTTTTCATCATAATACCATTTGTATTAACATCGTTTCAAAAGCATTCACGCGTTAGGAATGAAAATAATATCACGTTGGTCTACAAGTGGAAAGCACTAAATGCATTTCTAATCCCTCTCACGTTTTATTTACAGACAAGATGAACATATTAATCGTCGAGGTTACTTACGGAATTAGCTAAGCATGCAACGACAATATTATGTATTGCATTCGATACATTAAATGCTTAAATAATTAGACGATTTTTCTTTAAATAGATATTATCCCGATAAAAGTGACGTGTGTTTAAATAACGTTCCTGTCGATATTATAATATAAAGGATATTCCGTGTTTTACAACTCGATCATTTTCACACGATCATTATCGAAAGACGACTATTCATCGTCTATTCAAGTAAGACAGAAGCTACGAACAAAATCATTCTGTATCTGCACGCTTCGCGTGATCTTTAAACAACCTTACAAGAGACCGGAGACCGACAATTAAAATGCATGCTAAGCCTACGTGCCGGAAGTTAGCTTTGTCGTGATGAGACTGTCAACAGAATGGACGTAGACCGATTTCGATGATTATCTTCCTCTATCGTCCGTCAATTTGTGCAAAGTACTATTTTTTCTATCATCCTTTATTTTTATTTTATTTATTACAAATAATTTCTATATAAAAATGATTTTTTTCATGATCATTTATTTCCTTACAATATAATTGATTAATATATTTTGTCTATAAAGAATATTTGAATGAATTCCAATGGGTGTATTGTTATAGCGATGAGCCCAGCGTTAGGTATGCACCCTGGCATGGCGCCTCATTTGCAGCAGCTTCAGGCACACCTTTTGAGAAGCGCCGCCGCGGCGGCTCTTTTGCCTCACACGCATCCTTTGCAACCGCCTGCACCACCGCCATTGCCTCCACACCCTCATTCTCACCCTCATGCTCACGGTCTTTCGTCTCACTCGCAACTTTATTCTTGTGTACCACCTCATTCTACGGCATCGACAACGACCCTTCCTCCTCATGAAGGATTATCACTAAAGAGTGAGGTATATATACAAATGTTTATACTTATTTATATACCAATATAATATATACCATATTCATCACTCAAAATAAATAATAATCAATATCCTTATTTTGTGTAGAATGCAGAATCCTGTAGAAAAGCTTCGGAAACAACTTCAAAATCAATTACCGCGGAGGCAGACACGTCTTCGAGAAGAACGTCTACCAAGGTAAAAAGAGAACCAGCAACTACAACCACCAATACAACGACCACCGCTCCTCCGAACCATCCTCAAGGACTTAGTCCTAGCGAGGATCTTCGAGATGAGCCTGGTGACTTCATTGAAACGAATTGTCATTGGAGGGACTGCGACCTTGAATTTCCAACTCAGGTTATAAATGCCTTCCCTTATCTTTTCACTTTCACGATATGAAGAATTGTTTTCATTGATTTTGTTCTTGTTACACTCAACAGGATAATCTTGTAAAGCATATAAACAACGATCATATACATGCTAATAAAAAGAACTTTGTTTGTGGTTGGGAGGAATGCTCAAGAAAGGAAAAACCGTTTAAGGCACATTACATGCTAGTGGTACATATGAGAAGGCACACAGGTGAAAAACCTCACAAATGTACGGTATGTAGATATTAATATATTTGCTTGATATAAATATACAATCAAATTTGTTGGAAATTTGATTTGTTTTTTAATTGGATTAATTTATCCTTACAGTTCGAAGGTTGTTTCAAGGCATACTCGAGACTGGAGAACTTAAAAACTCATTTGAGATCTCATACAGGTGAAAAGCCATACACCTGCGAATATCCAGGTTGTAGCAAAGCTTTTAGCAATGCTAGCGACCGAGCGAAACATCAAAACAGGACGCATTCGAACGAGGTAAATTAGTATTTCCACTAAGAAATAAATTTCTTTTTAAACTTAGCATTTGTGTGTGTGTGTGTGTTGATCCGTGTGATAATAAATATTGTTCTTGTAGAAACCGTACGTTTGTAAAGCACCCGGCTGCACAAAAAGGTACACGGACCCTTCCTCTTTGAGGAAACACGTAAAGACAGTCCACGGTGCGGAATTTTATGCCAATAAAAAACATAAAGGTGGTGGCGGAGATGGTGGTGGAAGCGATGAAGCAGGTGCAGGAGGACATAGTCCTAGCAGAAGCGAAGATTTACATCCAAAGACACCGAGTTTATCGAGCCCTAGCATCAAATCTGAGAGCGAGGCTAATAGTCCACCTGGAATGATGCAACAACAAGGAAGTCCCCTTATTGGAGGTTGTAACGATGAAGTGACTGGTGTAGGTACTCTTACTAATGACGGACCTAATCTTTCGGAAGAACCATGGACCGAAGAACCTGACGATTTAGACATTGCCGATCTTCCAATTGCTCTTCGTGCTATGGTAAACGAGATCTTCAATCAGAACAACGTTATCATTTTTCTTGAACCTATCATTTGAATCGTCAATTCTTCAAATAGTATTATTATTTGCAGGTTGGTGGAATAGAATCTCATCAGCAGCAACAAGTAGCGACAGCTAATTCGAGGAATCGAATGAAGGGAAGATTGAATGCCAAGGGTGTACCAACGCTTTCGGTTAGCGTGTCCGGTATGAGACGTGGCATTGGGGCACAGAGTAATATCGGAGACTTGAACAGGAGGATCACAGATTTAAAAATGGAAGGTGGTGTTCCAGCTCGTCAAACGAGCTTATCGGATTTACAACTTAGATTGCAACCTTTGAGCGAACCTCGGAGAGATAGCAACAGTACTGTTAGTACGTATTATGGCAGTATGAAATCAGCCGATTTTGGTAGTAGAAGAAGTAGTCAGGCTAGTGGTATTAGTGCTGTAAGAACTGGACCTAATGGACCAGGGAGTTTTTACGATCCTATTAGTCCTGGTACTTCTAGAAGAAGTAGTCAAATGAGCACAACGTCTGGTAGAATTAATCCTCCAAGCCATATACAAGGACAATATTCTACCAGTAATCTAGTTCTACAAACGAGAAACATGTCATTGCAGGTATTATTTCAATTAATATTAATTATTTCACTTTAGAGAAAAAATGTTGTATATATATATATATTAAACAAATGTTATTAATACAGGGTATCCAAGGTAAACCAAACGATTGGAATAATCCTAGTGAACATTGTACTCAACCTTCCGGTGATCGACGAATGTCTGAACCTGCAAGAGGACATCAGACACATAGAACGTCTCCACCTATGCCTCCGAGACCAAGATCAGCTCAATTACCAGAACTTCATCCAAATCAAGAAGTTATTTTGGATGAAGTTGGGGAAGGTGAAATGGTGGAAAATAAACTCGTCATTCCAGACGAAATGATGCAATATCTGAATCAAGTAAGTTAATCTAGTTTTTTTTTTTTCTATAGAGTATCTATGTAAATACTTTTATTTAAGGGATTATTTATAATTCACAGGTACAAGCAGGTGGAAATCAAAACAATTATAGGAGCAGTCCTCTACCTATTTGTCAATCACCGATATGTACAAATCACTTACATTATCAACGACAGATGCAACCTGCTTGTAATTACAATCAAACGCATCAACAAAATTGTTATTCGGCTCAGCAGTCTTCCCAACAATCTTGCCTTAATTATCAAAATACTTCTCCTATTCCATACAATCAATGCCCAAGCTCTCGACCTACTCATCCCTCTTCCCAGTACTGTCCACCTCCTCCCAATTATGCATCTCAACCAGTTTCAGCACAAATGGCGAGTCCTGCAAGTGGTCAAGTAATGTCACCAGGGTCTCACTATGCTCCTAGTCATATAAGTGATCAGCCACTAACTTCCCCGGCAGCTGGTGCTTTGGCACCACAACATACATCACAAAATATGTTACAAAATTCAGCTCAACTTACAAGAAATTGCTCTCAAAATCACATGTACCATAATTATTATCCCAATCATGGTTGTCAAGTACAGTTAAATTCCAATTGCAATCGCACCGCGGGCAATCAAACGAACCATCATTCCAATCAAACATGTGTATCAGCCAATCATACGTCGATGGGCCAACAATCGTGTATGCAAACACGTTCAAATGTTAATTGTCAACAATCGATTCCACACTGTACGCAACAAGCAATGCTATCTGGTCAATCTAATATAAACCATCCTAATTCACAATGTGCTCAAACGACTAATCAATGTTTAACAAGGCCGGTGGTAACACCTAATAGTCAAATGACGAGTTTACATATGGATCAGCAAACTGGAAACACTAATCAGTGTACATTAATGTCACCACATTGTTCGCAAATGAATGTTACAAATCAAACTAAAGTTATGAATAACATGAGCGGATTACAGGAATGTCAGCAACAACCACAAACGGCAAACTCCTGCATTCAAATCCAAACGTGCATTCATCCAAATAGTGGCCATCATCAAAATATTACAAATGATAATTCAATGCCTAAGAGAACATCCCCACAGTTGTGTAATGCATTACAAAGTAATGGTAGGATGCAACAACAACAAATTTGTGGCCACGGTTGTCAGATGCGATCTAATCCTCCTAATAATCATCAATATAATTGCAATTGTCAGTGGGGTTATGGAGAACAATGTTATCAAGAACAGGGTGGCACGAATTTGTTAGAGATACAATGCAAAGATATAAGCCAATCACAACAAGGTTCTCCGGCTAAACCACCGCAAGGTATGAGACAAGATTCTTACAGGAGAACATTAGAGTATGTACAGCAATGCAGAAATTGGTCTGGCAATATGCACGAGACCAGTGTATCAAGTTCTACTCATCCTATATCTTTGCCACAACCATTACCAGCTAGCGCAAATATGGTTGTTAATGACATGACGTCATCTTTAAGCTCTTTACTAGAGGAGAATAGGTACTTGCAAATGATACAATGAATTCATTTGCATCACGAAAGTATTTACGATAAATTTTACAATTATCGCGGATAATATCACCTTCTTTTATAATTGATCGACTTTATGATGTATTTAAGTGCCTTTAATGAGTGCTGTTTGATACATTACATGTGCCTTAATAGTTCATTATACTTTTTCTATGATATTCTCTCTAGAATATTACATTTTACACAAGTATTTTATAAGAGGAAATGTATTTTTTACAAAGAATATGCATTATATATATCTTTTATAGATTGATTCTTTTGTACTATTTACACTCACACACACACACGCACATATATATATATTTGTAGGTATTTACTGTAGTAAAACAATTAGTTAATCTATTCGACTGCGCTATGTGCTTTAAGCCATATCACGATTTTTGTAGATATTATCGTACGATTACACATTTTATACAAGTACTGATTATTGAAAGTGTGCCAATTATATACTTTGTTTTTTTTTAATCATAATTTTATCCGTTTAGTTCTCTGACGAATAGTGCAAAATGTGCACTGTGATATAAAGAATTTGGGATAATTTCTTAGCGTCTGAATGATAAAAACAATAATATTTCTCTTACCAAACAACTTTTGATTCTAATTAAAATAAATCACTGCAATGACATATTACATATATATGAATGATTTAATTTTGATGCAAATTGAATTTTGTAAAAAAAAAAAAGGAGCCAACGCTAGATTTAAACAAATGTAGATAAAAAATAGTGGAAAATAGAATTGTAAGTGTAAACAATGTGAAAAAAAAAAAAAATACACTTTTTGGTATGATGATATAGAAGTATGAGTGATAAGATAGGTTTATTACTTTTTTTTCATTTTTTGTTTTTTCATCAAGATTTTTGTGTAAAGATATTTAACTTTAATTCATAGTCATCTAAATTAAATCTTTTGGATTAACCGATTGAGATAAGAAAGAGTGCCTTTAAAAATCATGAAGAATATTGTCGAGTTAAAAACGCTTCGATATGGCGTATTTAAAATATGTTTTTGTTATGCAAACATTTTTTAATGAATTTTATTAATCTTTTATACAAAACTACAAAAAGAGTTTCTTGTGAATACTATACATACCTATCGTATACATATATAGTAATTAAAATATAAGAACAAAAGGTTTTAAAGCCCAATATAATTGTTGATTATTTGACGAATAAATAAGTTTTCTAAATTATTTATAATTTTTCCTCTTTTATAACCAATAATTATGCAACTTTAAGAAATTTTATTTCTATAAATATGTAATATTAATCATTCATTACCTTTATGATCCATCGGATAAGATTTTTCAAATGAATTTATTAATATAAATAAATAATAACACTGTTCATTTCTTTAATGCGAATAATAAAATAATTAAATAATATATATCAAATGAATATTAAAACTGAACAAATTTTGATAAACTTCACTTGGAAATGTAAATAATAACAGAAAAACACTTTTATCAAATACTATTACTTTTAAAAAAGATGTCTTATGCATTTGCACTAGATGGCGCATCGTACTGTATCGATGAATCGATATATAATACATATGCTAGTATCGATAAATTCCCGCTAAAATTTGAATTAATCGAATATTATTAATTTAAAATGATCATTATAATAAATTGTTATTGAATGAATATCGAATATGAATATATTTCAAAATTATTAGTAAGTTACATGGAGCAGAATAGAACATAATTTATAACAGATTTATCTCAGATGTTAACAATACATATACTAGGAAAATGATATAATTTATGATCAATTATTTCATTTTGATTGATAACATATTTTTATTATTAATATATTTCATCGAGGATATGAAAATAAAATTTGAGTCTGATAATTAAATTTACTAGTATATGTAACTAATAGTTAAGTCATATTAATAATTATATCTAGTTTCATATCTTTATTTTACTCGTAATAATTAAGTATATGAATGTATTATATATCACCATATGAATTAGATACTATTAAAAAATAAGACAAAAATTATTAATAATCTGAATCGTTTTATATAGGCTGTAGAAGTTTGTATACAATATTATACACTGAATAATTATTATATCTTACTAATAACAATCTGTTTGTTCATATATATCTATATATATATATATAGCCGTAATATTTATTATTATAAATTATCAGATGTTTGTTTCCATGTAACAGCAAGTTTATACATAAAGATTTATAATATACAGATCTTTGCAAAAAGGCAGTATCAACATTCATTGAAGAAGAGATTGTGTACATTAATATATCAGTCACGTATCAAAATTATAATAAGTTGTTTATAAAATGTCATAAAATTTTTAATATAAAGATAATTGAAATATATATATTTATATATATATATATATATATATATATATATATATATATATATATATATATATATTTCAATTAAAATATATGCATATATATCTTCTTAATTAGGCTGTTTTCGAATTTGTAATGTGTACAAATTATAATGTAATGTGTATGAAATAATTATATTGCCATTGAAAATAATTTTCTTATAGTTATATTTTGTTGTTGTTTTTGTTGCTTTTGTGAAAATAGTCACAGAAGACTTTTATCTCGTGTAAAAAGATAAAAAAGATATTTTTGAAACAACGATGGTGGCTTTGGCCTATTGTTTTAAACTGTAAACTCTGCCGTAGATTTTGGATTATTGATCCTACAAATGTTCTTTATTTATGTATAATAGTATCTTATTGTTATTATTCTTACTTTATCTTTTCTATAAGAAAGAGAGAGAGAGAGAGATTTTCTATATTGTAGATCTCAAAATAATGATACTTTAATAGAATCAAAAGGTAACTATCACTAATCGCGTTTGCGTCTTATGTTAAACATTTTATAGTAAACATATACAATAAAAGTAAAGGTATAACATAACTTGAGAGCATAGTATTAAAATATCAGGTACCTTTATACGATGCGTACCTTTAGATGTAATTAAAATTTTTTTTATCGATTTTTCATTATATTTTTGTTTAGTATATTTTTTTTTTTTATAAATTTCGATTATGTATATTACGAATAGCAAAGCGTTCTTTTTAAAAGAATTTTAATTTAAAGGAATGTTGTATCAAATATATACTGTATTAGAAAATATTATTTTAACATAATGTTTATAAAATATATCATACATGGAGTATAAAAATTAATTAAAAAAAAAAAAAAAAAAAAAAGAAACAAAATAGTACGCATTACTAGCAAAAATGAATTGGAGAGAAATTCTTTATGGAAATTATTATAACAGTTTGAATATAAAATCGCAAATAGTAGAAATGTCAAAGTATTCAAGATATAAATAAAATATAAATTAAGTGATATGATATATAAATCATAAGTAATCAATAAAATCTTACTATATGATTTAGATGGTTAAGATAATGTAAGTACTTTTTAAAAAATACATACACATTTAACAATTATATGTTCTTATATGAGCATACAATATATATCTATTACAGTATGAGTTTTATTCGTTCGATATATTTTTAATTGGAATTTATTAATAAGGAAGACTATATTAAAATATTCGAATATATAGTATCAGATCCATAATTTAGTGTACAAGTACGCAAACTTTTGGCATCTTGTTTAGAATGCACACACATACTTGATTATGTATTAATTCATATGCAAATGAATTATGAATTAATAATAATCCTAACGCGCAAATAATGATCTTTTATTTTTAATAATATCTATAACTAAATATCAATAAAATTCATTTTCATGTAATACTGTACTATAATCAGTATAATTTTTTAATATATATATATATATATATATATATATATATTTATCTATCTATAGATTAGAAGATAGTAACATGCATATAAACTATGCATTTATATATGATATCAATAGCAAACATAGGACAATAAATTTATCAAACTTAATTCTATGTATCATTACAGCATTAAGCATAAAAATAGTAAATAACAAATAATCGTTTATACAATGCAGTTTTGATTACTCGTTACTTTCAACATTAACAATATATTAGGTACTGATAGATAGGCTTTCTTTCATACTTTTTAACTGCATACTGTGTATATATAAATGATAGACCACATGCTTTTTAAAATTCTTATATGTTTTATATGTTTATAGAAGAAACAAAATGTTTTATTTTCATAATTTAAAACAAATCAATATTATATAAATTTGATACCCATTTCTATGTTTATATGATTTGAAAATCTCAGGTACCAATATAAACGGTTTGTTAATTTGTCATTCATCATTGGTTTCTTTTTTATGCATAGTTACTTTCTTCTTATTAATATGTAAGAGATAAAAACATTTATATTTTATTTATACTTACGCGCTTTCTACGTTTTATTCGCATTACCCTGCAAACTGAAAGATAAATTGTTTTTTTTATATATCCATTCTTTCCACCTGGGAACTTCAGTTTTTTTCATTCGGGTGTATGTGGAATATTGCTACTTTCATTTCGTCGTTGTAACCGTTCTGGATGCGAACAAGCTAACTGACTAAAATCACGGACAACATCGTTAAATGTTTCATCCCCTGTAACACCTATTTCAGAATCTTTCATTTCTTCATTTAACAATCCAAGTCGCAACCTAAAAAGCACATAATAATAATAATAATAATAATCATCATATAAATCAAATGTTTATTTGGAAATATATTTATACTTACAAGGTAACAATATCAGCATTAGCTTCCTTTACTGCAATTGACAAAGGCTTTATACCACTTTCATCTTCAATATGTTGATCCGCACGATGTTTTAATAGCAAACAGACTTGGGCCGTGTGTCCTAATTTATATATTAAAATGATTTATTAAATATTTACTAGATATATTTATTATGTAGGATGATAAAGAAGGGTTCAATATTTGAAGGGTTTATTCAACAAGAGTAAAAAATAATTAAGTCTTACACAACAATTTTTGTATCACCCTGTATATGTATAGTTAAATAACAAACCTAATTCTGTAGCTAAGTATAAAGGTGTTTTTCCATCTGCATCTTGACAATTGATACGAGCACCATTTAATAGAAGGTATTCGCAAGACATTACAGAACCCTACATAAATAAACATTATTCGACTATTCATCAATATTGAATGTAATGAACTAATTATACATACACTTATTATAGCTTGATGCAAAGCTGTACGGCCTCTATCATTAAAATTTGACCATAATTTGTTTGCTCCGGCAGCTAAAGCAGCACACATAACAGGTAAATTGTGCGCAGCTGCTGCTTTGTAAAGTAACATTTCGGGATGTAAATTTTCAATGTCTTCTTCGTCAGCAAACTCTTCATCTTCCCCAGCTGTTGAATCTTGATCCGAACTTAATTCTAAACTACCATCAATCATTGATTTTGGTAAATCACAACCAAACATCAATACATCGGATAGCATAATCTTCTCAGTTTTTTGTATTTCCGAACCATTGTTTTTATTGCTCGGTATGTCGTTTATATCAGAGGTAATATTATCACACGCATTGACACTTTCTTCGAATTTCGTAACATCAGTTTTAAGTACTTCTTCGTTGCTTGATGATGACTCCGAATGAATGATTTTGCATAGACTATTATTTTCATTAACATCGTTATGCATTGGAGTCAATATTTTTGTATATAGGGTTGAACTATTTTTTACATCGACATTTGAATTCTCAGATTTTATAGAAACTATATCAGTTTTTTGCGATATTGATTTTTCAACAGAATTTAAACTTTCTATTGATGTATGTTTACTATCATCTGAACTTGAACACAAGGCTCCCTTGGAAGAATTCAAAATAGTCTTATTTCGGTTTAAAGAATCAAGATCATAACTGCGTGGTCTACGACGTAATTTACGGACACTCCATTTACGAAAATGTTTTTGTTCTTGATTAGGTGAATGATCATTTGTAATAATATTAGATAGAGGTTTCACGAACATACGATCAACATATTTTGCTCTTATCCATGCTTCACGTATATTACTAGAAAAATCAAGACAATTATTTTTACAATGAAATTTGATAGTAATGTAGAAAAAGTACAATTTCAATGTTATACCTGTTACACTTTGGTGTAGCTTTAATCATATTCGGAGGAATTGGTAATGCTTCGTACACGTTGTTTACTACAGTATTACCTAATTCTGCCATAACTTTTAATATTTCTGGTTCCCAATCGTCTAATGTTAAAGAACGTACTTTGCTGTAATGAACTCCAAGGCTTCTATGTACACCAGAACATTCTATGTGTAAGAACAAAATATGCATTAATTATATATGCATATATTTCGAATATAATTCAATTATATTTCTTATAAATGAAATTTACCTATACAAAGTGTAATGCCTAGGTTAATACTAGCCCATCTTGGATTTGATCCTTCGCAATCGCAGCAAACATCATTTCCAGAAATTTTTAATAGCTGTTCCCATACTCTAAAAAAACAAAGTAATGTATTAGAAGTTTTTTTTGTTTATTCTATAAATATATTATTTACCTCGATTTAGGTTTAGGTGGTGGCCGTGTAGAACATTTAATATCTCTTAACTGTAGTTCTTGAGAACTAGTAGTAGATAAAGTACCCATTCCTCTTTGAATAGCAGCACCAATAGCTTGTTGCATAGCAGTTACCCATGCTAGATATGCTTCTTCGCTATCAGCTTGTAGCATATGACTCCTACATTGAAATATAAAATGGTAGAGAAATTGAATAAGAATTTATTAGATTATTGTCTTACTTGGTTGGACTTAGTACTTCAAAACAGTTTCGTCTATCACAATCTACTACAGGTTTGACGGTACAAAGACGTAAATCTTCTTCCATGACAGTATAATCATCATCACCAGTTCGTTTTCTATAGACAAGTTGATGATCTCTCAAACAGAACCATCTTCTGTTCCATGTTTTAAATGCATTACTTGTTCTTTTAAATAAATAACCTTCCATTTTTGGATTGCCAAGTACAGGCGAAGGAGTTAGATCTCTATTAGTAACGTAAATATGTCTGTTCTCCATCTCCTTTTCAAGTTTGTTCGAGTCATCTCTCATTCTAACAAGATCTTCGCTAAGATCTTTTAAAAATGGATCTAAGTCTTGGCCAAGATCGCTACCTTGATGGTAATAAGTTATACAAGCATGCATATAAGTTAATAGAGAGCCCAATATTTCATGTCGCTTGCGTGTTTGTATCATCGTTAATGCATGAACGTAATCTAAAGCAGTATGACGAAAGCATGATCTAGTAGCTGATAGAATGTTTGAAGTTTCCTCATATTCCGTGGGTCGTGATTTTGGAACTTGTGAATTACGATTTAATGCTATGTCTAAATCTGTAGATATTTTTTCAAAATAATGACGTGTTTCCTTAACCCTTTTGATATCACTGTTAAATCGAATTAAATGAAATAAATAGTTCTACACGTTAATAATAATAGTAAGGAATATACAATTATACAATTAAAACACATAAATTTACCTTTTCATAAATGTATTCAGATCTTTAATGATAGTTCTAGATGCTTGATCTAACAATATACTGTGAAACTTATTCATTTCTTGCATAGAATGTATTAACTTATTTAAAAATGCCATTATTTCTGGATCGTTACTAAAATATAACGATAAGTCCCATAAGCTGTTGGCGAATTGGCTGAAATATTAAATCAATTTTATATAAACGATATTGTAAAAATACACAAATCTATAAAGCGTCATATGTTCAATCACACTACGTTGTGCTAAGATACCTTTGTTGTCCGACAAAAGCTTTTCCAGTATCAATCATCATGCTACAGTTCTTTAATACCTATGATACATAAACAATGATCATTCAAAGTTATGTTTCTTTAAAGAATGCAATATTAACGTGATCAAATTTATTGTTACCTTGTCTAGTTTTTGTTCCAAAATATCTATGTTGTTCTCAACTTCTTCTATGCAAGATCTAATAAAAAAAAAAAAAAAAACATTTAAACAATGGATGTGTATGATTCCTTAAATATATGTAGTTAATTAAAATATAATTCTTACCGAAATTTTGGCGTGTCTCGCAAACACTCCTCGAATTCTATCAAAGGCTTCATTTTAAAAGTATTATGTATATAATGTGTGTATTATGTGCGTGTGTGTGTATGTGTTAAATGTTAATAAGAAGTTTTGTTCAACGAAATATAATCTCAAGATTGGTGTCTTTCACAATTTTCCATTAATATTAAATTTTCTATAGAAGAAAAAAAATGTTAACAATTATAATTATTATGTTTTCAACAAATATCAATGAACAACAGATTCTCCATTTTTCTGTCAAATACTGTGAACGAGTTAGAGAAAAGTGCAACTTTCGGTCTTCCAGTGTTGACAACCTACGTAATCCTGCGAAAGTGCATGTGCATAGATACAAAAGAATATGTAAGTTTATTAATAGATATCATATATTTATTATAATAAAATTGATAAAATTATTTAAAATCACACAAATAAAATATTTGATATTTTTTTATTTTATTTAAATATTAGAAATGTATTGTGTAACGTGTAAGTAGAAATTTAAAATTTAAGGTTGGCTTATAATATTAATAATAATAAAAATATTGTACTTGGTGAAATTATAATTTTAATCAAATGAGAATAATTGAATGGTTGAAAATTGTTAAAATTTGTTATTAAAAATGACAAATTTTTCGCAATATTTAAAGAATATTATTTCTATCTATATGAAATTTAATTTAAAGAAACGAAATATGTCAAATTTAGTTTTTAATTTTCCCGCCGATTGGTGGCACTTTTTCTTTGTTATATTGGTTAGGTAGTTTATATTTCATAAGTGTGATAGTATTTTTTTTACTTTTTACAATGACGCATATAATATATTTAAAATCATTCTCATTATTTAAAATTCCTCTTTTATAAAATTTCTAATTTCTTATTTGTAAGTTTTTATTTATACTATTTCTCGAAAGATGTAAACTCACGTATGTATGTATGTGTTTTGTATGTGTATAATACAAAGGTCTATCTATGCGCAACGAGTTCGCGCATTTACGTGAAGTGTTATGAAAGAGTCAATAAGTGCTGAAATTTTTGGTCGTGTTTTTGGACATTTAACTACACAATGTATGTGTTTAATATTTATAATATTATATTTAATTTTTATTCTAAATAATTATTTAATAAAAATGTAATAATTATAAGTTCATATATACGAATAAGTAGAAAACGCAGATTACCTAACCTTTAATATTCCAGTCTTATAATGTATACCTATGCATGCATAGTACTATATTATATTAAATAACTTATTACGATAAATTACAATAAATGTGTGTGTGTGTTTTTTTTATATAGATTCAAGATGACTGGTGGTACGTCCACTGAAAAGTCAACAAGTAATCCATTGGAGCAGTTCGTGCTGCTTGCCAAGACAGCTAAAGGTGCAGCAGCCTTAGAATTGATACGACAAGCTGTAGAAACACCAGGAGTTCATGTGTTCGGTGAATTATTGGATATGCCAAATATTAAGGAATTGGAAAGTGGTCCATATGTTCAATACTGGAATACATTGAATTTATTTGCATATGGTACATATAAGCAATATTTGGAAAATAAGGATAAAGTTTTGGAATTGACTCCGACACAAAAGAAGAAGCTACAGCATCTAACTATTGTAACTCTTGCGACTAAGTCTAAATGCATACCTTATTCGATCTTGCTCGAAGAACTTGATATCAAAAATGTCAGAGATTTAGAGGATTTAATAATAGAAGCTATTTATGCGGACATAATACATGGTAAATTAGACCAAAAGAATTCTCAATTGGAAGTAGATTATGCCGGTTTAGGACGTGATGTTAGACCCGGTGATACAGGAATAGTTGCCGAAACTTTATCCTCTTGGGGTCAAGCCTGCGATGCTGTTTTAGCCTGTATAGAAGAACAAGTAACTCATGCCAATGTAGAAAAACAAAAAGCCACTTATCACAAAGAAAGAATACAACGGGACGTAAGTAATATTTTGAATATATTAAACATTCTCATTTAAATAAATAAGTAATATTTATAATTACATTAAATGTCTTTGGTAATATTTGACAGATTACCAATATAAAGAAGTCTCTTGCTGCGCAAGCTGGTGGTGGTGGAGTGCAAGAAGCTGACATAGTTGGAGGCAATTCTAGCGTGGGTGGGAGCGAATCTGGTAGAGATGGTAGAGATGGAAGAGATGGTAGAGATGGCAGAGAAGCCTTACCGGATCTAAAGAAAAAGCAGCAGAAAGTGAAAGGTATCAGAGGCAGTGGTAAGTTTTGGAAAAGCTAAAAGTATTTATCGATTTGCATACAACGGGTGATTTTCTTGTGATAGGGTTGTAGGATATATTATGTGCTCTGTGCAAAATTTATTTTGCAAAATTTTATTTAAATTTATATTTATTATTATAAAATGCAATAATTTTAATCATTTTTTATCATTTAAAATAAATATGAAGAAAGAAAAAAAGAGAGAATGAGAGAGAGAGAGAGAGAGAGAGAGAGTGAGAGAAGTTCTATTTCTTACTATGAATAGTTATTGTTATATTTATGGAATGGATAAATGAGAGAAATTAAAAGCTTAGAAAGATGCACATACAAAATCTTGAATATATACATGTGCATAGTTACAAATCAAATTTGTGTGGACTACAATAAAATTTGTAATATTAATCTAAATTTATATATTTTGCTTTTTGTGTGTGTGCAAAAATATTCAGAGGTTGTTCAAATTTTTCATTTTATAAAGTAATTTAATTTAAGATCGAAATAGGAAAATTTAAATAAGGGAATGAATTCATTAATTAAGTGTAATCTTTTATTGAACAAATTTCAAATTATTCATATATAATAATGAAACAAAATTCATGGACTGATATGAATAAATAAATAAAATTTATACATGCATCGTGGGATTTATTATAAAAAAAAAAAGAAAAAAGAAAGTATGCAAATACTGCCGAAAGAAGTTGTAATGATATGGTAGGAAAAGGATTTTATATGCAAGATACATACATCGAAAGTTTATTTAATGATGTATAATAATGGACTCGTTGATAGTGACGTATCTTTTATGAAATTCATTTTTTGGTTTGCATGTTTTAGTTCGACAAAGTTGACAATTGGTTTCTATGAAGTTAAACAAATATTTAAATTTTCATTTTTGGTTCTTAAACAGCCCTAATACAAATGTATGTTATAATGAATTATTTGGGAAGTCAATGAATTAGTTTGCTTGTTGTCTAGCCAATGGCACAAGTTTAGTGGTGAACATGGTCATGTTTATTCATGTGTATAATTTTTAATCTAAGAAATTTCTTTTTATTTGGAATACAGAATATATTCTATGGAATTAAAAATGTTTAGAAATCGAGTACACTTCATTAATATGTACATATATATATATATATCATTTTTTTATATCCAGACCAAAGCTTGTTTAGATTGGTAGAATTTATAGTCCATATATCTAATATTATATATTGTTATTACTCAATTATAAAAATAACATTAATTGATTAGTGCTCTTAGTAATATCGAGATATTTCCTTTTCTAATGAAAAATTTTGATACAAACACAAAGTTGTTAAACTGTTTAGTGTTTGAAGAATAAAGCGTGATTAGATGAGCAAATAGTTTCTGATTAAAGATTTTATATTTAGAAGGTGTTAACACCTTAACACCATTGATGTAGTTTAGCTAATACGAATGTCAGTATAATTTTAAAAGCCTTGTAATTGCTAATGGAATAAAAATTAATTTATTTTCGTGAGGCTTTTCTATTTCTCTAATCCCTTGGTGCCTCTCCTTTTATGTCCACAGAATAAATAGTTATTATAATTTCAAAGAATAAGCCTTGTCATTATTTAATTGATATAGATGTCGATATTAAAATAGATTTTAGAATTAAAAGATAGCGTTTGGGAAGAAATCTTAGAGGATGATTATAGAGAAATAAGTTTGAAGTAGACTTTGGCTTTCTTATGGTCTTCTTTTATTTCTAATCATTCCAAATCATTGTATTGCCTATTTTATCAATTTGATTAATATACAATATTAGTCTTCTTATTAACGATAGTGCTGATGAACTAAGGAAAAGGTGCTGTTAATTATTTAATGATTTAATTGGGCTATGAACCATAATCTTGCGAGCCATTCTTTAATACTCCAAATTTGTCTTCAAGATACTTTTGTATATTCTCTTTTTGTTTTGATTTCCTTTGGTGTTCTTTAATTCTCTCTTAACGTTGTATATTTATTGAAAAAGATGACAAACCATAAGCCTGATCGGCATTTTCAGGACCTACAGGGGCATTTTCAGGATCTACAGGAGCATTTTTATCTTCAACAGCATTTTACGGATCATCTTTGCGAACTGAAATTGATCGGTCGTCGGCGAAGAAATTGGGGTAATTCCAGAACGAGTTAGGGTGATCAAATTAGAATGAAAAATATAATATGTTCGAGGAATTTCCTTCGTCTGTTTACCTCTCCTTCGCAAAAAAGTTACTTTATATATAGGTATACTTATATAATTATAGGTATATTCATAAAGTATACTATAGATAATACAATATTAATAAAAAGCTACTATAATGTGTATAAATTTTATCCTTTTAAAAAATGAATTTCATACTTAAAGCGTTTCACATACATACACACGCACACACATATATATATATGTATATAATATTTATTGTGAATTGCAACATTTTTCGTGTGCACGTATGATAAATAAAAACTATATAGTAAGAGTAACGATTCTTTAATCTCTCGTTTAAATCGTTTCGTTAAATAAAAAAAAAAAAAAACTTTAGATAAAATTTAAATAAAAATGATAATAATATCTCTAACGCCAAGAAAAAAGAAAATCAATGTGTGTTTGTTAACTTATTCGTTTTATTTATTTATTTTTTGTTCTTTCAGAAACATGCTCACTTACATCATTCGTCTTTCTCTCTTCTTTTTCTTCTTCTTATATTATATCTTTATTTTTTTCTTTTTTTAATTCGTAAAGTTTCAGATAAACGTAACGAAATCACAGAAATATGAATCGATTTGCGTTTAGGATTCGTTGTAAAGCGAATTCAAAGTAACAAGCTTTGCGAATAAAAATTCTGTAGATATACATTTATACGTAAATACATACATACATACATACATACATACATACCGCATACATACATAACGCATACATACATATGTTAATATGTGTACGATTAAAAGTATAATTAAAATTTGATCTTCGTTCGGGCGTTACGAATTAGAAATATTTCCTAAGATCTAATGGTAATGCGTTTATCATACGTATGTACAAATTATCTTTTGATTTTCTTTCTTTTTTTTTTTGTTTCTCCTATGACGAATATATTTCTTTCTAAACGTTTTACAATGTTTTAAGGAAATCAAAAATGTGGGAAAGATCAATGCTTGTTACGTTATAGATGACTTTTTCTTTTCAAATTATTTTTTTTTACTATTGTGTGATAGCAGATAACTCTGCTAAGAATAAGCATAATTTGTATTTTAAGTCAGAGTATAATATTTGGACATTTTTAAATGTTAACATCGATTTATAGATGATGATATTACATGTATGTAATATGTTATATATACAAAGTGTTTTTTTTCTTTTTTTTTTTTTTTTATATATATGTACAGAAAGTGAGTACAGTAGATTTTTATTGCCGTAAATAATGGCACAGGAATTATTAGTTTATACAAATGTTACAATTATTTTTCAAAAGAAATATACTCTAATTATATAATTATTKTWTWTTTTWWKTTTGGCAACATTATCTATATGTATATGTTTTATTCCTTTTTCATCTCTCTCTCTCTCTCTTTTTTTCTTTTTTTTAAATTGATTAATCGACAATTTATTTACAAAAGTAATTTCTCTCGATAATTTTAACATAATTGTGCATGATATATATTATGGCATGAATCGTGGTGTATTACGAGAGAATATTTTCTCTTATATATATATATATATATATATAGAAGAGATACAAAATTTTATTTAGTTACGTCTAAATCACAGAGCAACTTAGAGCATCGATCTCTTCGAAAGTGTAACTTCGTATTATTATTATTATTAGTAATTTCGATCTATTCAATATTTTAAATTATTTTTATTTTTTGTTGTTGTTCTTATTAGATTGATATAGATTTTGAAAATTAGTTTGGCGATTTACAAACGCCTCACATCTAATCTTTTGATATAATGTTTGTATTACATACTATATTTGCACGTCCATACATCACCAGAGTCACCTTTAAACACTTGACGATGAAGAAACATTAATTAGTAGATTTATTTCTTTTTTGTATTTACACATTTTTTTTTTGTCCACTTTCCCTTTATGGTCCATGAAATATTTTTTGTTCTTTTTAATGAAGAATCTACAGAGATTCTCTTCATCTAATAGAAGATTCGTTCTATTTGTCAGTTTCATTCAAATTTCTTTTCGACTAATGATATTCAATATTTGGTTTTTTTTTTCTTTCATATGTAGTTGAAAATTGAAGGATGTAAATTTCGTCCGTCTTTCCATATTTGATACATGAATACTTTTTTCGAATTTATCTAAACGAGCCATGAACAAATTGCTCGTTATATAATTTAATATTTTTATAACAATATTTCGTTTTACAATAATATGTATTTGTAAATGTATTTTGTTGTGCTTGCTTATACAATTACTGGTTTCTTTGAGATCGGTTTTAAATTAGCCGCAATGATTGGCGTTTCAATGATAATATCATTTTGCTATAAAGCAACGTCGTTTTGATTGACAGGTCCGTTTCCTATTTTCGTATTATTTATTTGCCTCGTTGTAGTAGCAGTTTCTTTCGATTCTTTGTCAACAACAAGATGAACGCTATCGTTAGTTTCCTTTTCGTTGTTATTCGATTGGGTTTGGGTTCCGCGTGATATTAAATTCGGAGCTGACTTTCCGTTCTTCCGTTCTTTCAATTCTAACTCGTAATCTTGAAAACATTCAATTATTATAATTTCTTAATAATTTACAATTATTTCCTTAGATAAAAAGAAATGCAATTAACGAATACTTACATTCACTTTGTGTAGAACAGTCTGTAGTTTTGATGATATGTTTTTTCACGGCTTTGTTTTGATCACAAGTTACGGCGGTTAATGTAATAGTAGCCATCATGCTCGAAGCATTCGTTCCAGTTACAGCTGAACTTTTGGTAGTGTTGTATGGTCTTGGTGGCATTATATTCTGTCGAACGTTTCTATCCGGTCGAATTAATATAATATACAACTGTAAATAAACAAAATAATGTTAAGATTTAGATAACTTTATCTATCGATTTATTTAAGGATACATACTTTTGATATACATATGTATTTTTTTTGGTTATTATGATTATTTTTTTTTTTTACCTTTGGTGTGAACAGACAAGCAATAGTCAAAGAAGCAGAAAGACTGATGGTAACTGACATCGAAGTAATCCTCAATGCGACGTGATTGCCAGTACCAAAATAAAGTGGAACAAAGGCTAGCCATATAACGCAGGTAGTATACATAGTAAAGCCTAATTAAATTATTATTATTATTATTATTATTATTATTATTACTATTATGTAATTCATACTTCATTTATAATACATGTTCTGTTAGGTAAACCTTAATTGAGTAATTTATATGTATAGAATATATTAAAAAAAAAAAAAGTAATAATTAACACGTTGAATGCCATGGGATACAACCGATGATCGGCATTAAGTTTATTAGTAACGCCTCGGAGGTCATCTGTGACCCTCTTGGTAAGATAAATTGCTTTTGCACATTATTATACACTTTAACTTATCTGTTTTCTAAATAATATTTCAACATAATATGTAATGTATAATTACAAATTCGTGTTGGTCCCACGGGCAAGCCATAGTGAAATTAGCATAGCATTCAACGTTTGTGTTAATAATAAATAAGTTAATTTACGTATAATGTCTAATTGAAAAATGAATATTATATTAGTGTATTTAAAGGTATAATTTAATAATAATAAATATATATATTTTTTTTTTTCTTAATAAACTACACACAGACAAATTTGTAATAATATCTAATCGAATAATGAACGTGTGTATACAGGTTATTTGTTCTAGACTATTATCATTTACTTACCAATGTATTTGCTTTCGTTAAAGGCTTCAGGAATTTTTCTCGTGAGTATCGCATAAATAGTGCAAACAACTATCAATATAATAGGATATGCAAAAGCAATCATATAGCTAGCATCGATGTAGCTATTGCAAACAAGCAAATTATCCTCTTTGGTGGGGTAGTGATGCATAGCTTTAGCTGGATCGATAACAATCCACACAACGTTAATGAGTATCTGTACTCCTACTAAACCGGAACAAATGATCAATTGAGAATTTGGTGATATAAATGATGGTCTTTTAGCACTGTGTTTTCCAGCGTTAAAGATCCTCGATATCCGATTGGTTTTCGTCAAAAGTGCTGCATATACTACGGTAAAGCAAAATCCAGCACTGAATCTGTAGAAAATGATCGGTTAGAATACAAAAAATCGATTAACATTCAAGATACGAAAGATCGTACGCTTGTTGATTTAAAAGAAAAAAAAAGAAAGAAAATTATATTCGTAGAGGAAATGATGTTTAAGAGATAACTCACCTTTGAATACTGCAAACAATATCGGTTGGTCTAAGTACGAGAGCAAACGTGACGAGATAGCAAAGTAAGATTCCAATAAGAAGGACGTAAGATAATTCTCGGCCGGAAGCACGAACGACAGGGGTGTCGTTATGTTTTAAGAATACACCGCAGACAAATAAAGTTACCTTTGAAAACAACAAAATCCCAACTTTATTAAAATGCTTCTTTTAAATAGAGTTTATTGTTAAACATTATTTTTCATTTTATTGAATAACTTATAAAATATCTATTTACTAGTATTCCAACAGCAGAGAAGGACATTGCACCGATAGCCCAGCCACTTTCGAGTCTCAAGAATTCTTCGGGTATTTCACTACAGGTAGAATGAGTTTCATCTGGTAATGTTCCTTGTTGACAATTCTTGCATTGCGTTTCATCGTCTGGGTGTCTAATCTGTTTAAAAACGAAACAATTAATTTTCAATATTTTGTTAATATCTTTTATCGTTTTTTTTTTTTTTTATACGTTTAGAAGGAGAAATTTGTATAAATCTTTCTTATCTTTGATAAATATTGAGTTACCTGATATTGAGAACAATTAAAACAATGCCAACAGCAACTTTCACCCTCAACATATTTTTTCGCTTGGCCTACTTCACATGGCAATGAACAAACGCTTTCAGGTGTCTGATTGTGTCCCAGCTTAAATTGAACCACTGGAACAAACACATGAACAAGCACACTGTATCAAATGTGTATGGTGTTCCTAAAGAGATAGCAAATTTAGAATGTTCTCTGGAATCCTTTGCAATGGTAGCTTACTAGACATGTTTAAATGTAGAACTCCCTCGAGATATTTGCCAACGCGTATCCACTTGTAGACCCCAGGTTCGGTTTGTTTGAAATGTATGATGTTGTATCTTGCCGGGCCATCACCGTTTTCATCGAATCGAAATTCATCGCCGCTTAAACCTTTGAAACAAAACAAAAAAATAGAGATTGGAAGGATGTATTATTCACAAATGTAATATTTTATACAATATTTAAATAAATAATATAGAATATTTGGTATATACTACAATACTATTATTCAATATTGTTTAATTAGATATAAAATATGGAACATTCAAATAATGGTTAATTCAAGTAATACATGTTTGAATTCACTAAATCGAATCATTGTGTGTTACCAATGCTAATGGGAAATCAATTGCGTTTAATGAATTGCCTTTCTTTGAAAGCAACATAATTGCTAACCTTTGAATTGGACTTTGCGTAGATACTCCAAAAGCTTTGTACCTTCCGTTGGTTTCATTGCAGAACACAATCCAGTTTTGTTACCGCAAAGATCCCTATGCATGTCTCTGTGAAATAGAACAGTACTTTTTTTTTCCATTTTATTATTTAACATTTTCGTCTTATTTGATTAATCAAATTGAATTATCTTTTACCTGAATGCATGGGCAAAAGCCATTACCGCATCTGATACGAATTGCAATTGATCCTCGAAAACTGTGTTCTCTTTGGTAAGTCGTTCCTTGGTGCTACAAGCTTTCGTATATTTTTGATTGTGTGGTGTTAAAGTAGAATTTGGATAACGGCATTGAAAGTGATCTTCCCAAAATTCTAAAACGTCCAAATCGAATAATCAAAAATACAAGAGGAAAAATAATTTCGTTTATGTAATATAAAAAAGAGAAATAATATTGAAAATGATAATGATACGATTATAACGTTGATATAAATGAATATAATTTTTGGATAGAATAAAAGGAAAAGATAGATAAAAGAGAAAGAGGAGGAGGAGGAGGAGGAGGAGGAGGAGGAAGAAGAAGAGGAAGCGTTCGTTAATTAAAAGTGCACGGCGTACGTCAGTCGTCACGCATCCGCACGGACGTAGCACGAATAGGAACTAAACGATAAATGAAAACCTAGGTATACATACACACACACACACACACACACACACACATACATATAGTAGCTTGGTAGCACGTAAAGTTATTTTGTTTTAAAGAGTTACCTGGGAAATGTTTGACGAGATATGTATATGTATATATCTGCCTAACTTTCACTTACCGACGAACCAAGGGTTTCGCTTGTTGTTTTCGACAGTGAGATTTAGGAAGTATTCCTCAAAACCCATGACAGGATTCGCTTGGGGTTGAACAGAAAGTGTACCTTCAACTTCTGCTTCATTACCATTGCTCACCAAACCTCGTGCGCTCCATCCATCGCTGCCTATCCAAGAAAATGTACCGGTTGCATTGCATCGTCTGACTGCTCTCATAACTCCTGCTACTTCTTGATCCGATCCAAATATTATACAACCTGTTAGAAAAAAAGAACATACCTTTTTATTTAAATATCTATCTATCTATCTATCTTGTCATTTTGCTTAGTTTGTTTCTTCTTGACATTTCTAATAACTTATATTATTGGTGTTATGATGTCGAGTCAAGTTGTATAATGTAATTAGTACAGTTGTGAGTAGAACTAGAATTTGTACGTGCCTGTCTTGATTTATTGATAAAGTTTGTAAATTTATGTAAATGCATTTATATATATATATATATATATATATATATGTAATAACTAATTTTATAGTTTTATAATATTTTACATGTGACACACATACATGTTGTACGATAAAGGATATGTAATGTAGTTAGTACAGTTCGAATTTAATAACTTTATTAGATTTTTAGCACGAGTTAGTTAGATACGTTGAAAAGTCTACCTATCCTCATTTTAGGAATAGTTTTTACATCTATCGGATATTCCTTTATTGGATTATTTTTTTCCTAAGCTTAAACGCATAGTATTAATAATTAATTAAACACGAGATGTTAAAGAAAAATAAATGTGAGAATGTTTTTGCAAAATAAATATACATATACATATGTATATATATATGTAGGATGATCCTTTATTGCTTGAATTCCAGTGGGAATCGAGCCCATTGGTTAAACGGAGCCCAACATCGATGCTGCGAACGTGTCCTGTGTTTTATGGAATACACGAGCCAATTTTAAAATATCTCGTATATCTTATTTATTCGCGCAATATTTCAGGATTACTAGTATCTGCAAATTAATATACCTCTATGTGTCCTTTTTCCACTTACTTTTTCAAAACGAATAAGTAAATTAACTTGTGAAAATTTGTTTTTTTTTTTGTCCTTTCGGTTTATCCATTCATTCAGAATATTTCATCAGATGTATATATTTTTTATTTGCTACTCCAAATTTTAATGTTTTCTTATGAATAATACAAAATGTAATGTTAATATTGTAATATATATTAAAACTTACTGAGAAAGAGATATTTTTTCTTTTGCTATATAACGAGAAACATTTGTTGTTTTGTTTCGTTTTAGTCATTAATATGCGTATATTTTCATTTTTACGTAAGTAAAATGAAAATACGAGGCGTAATGGGATAGTACGAGTTATTTATTTCTGTAAGAACGTATTTTTTTTTCTTTTTTATATATACACGCTCATCCTTACGATATCTTTTCTCTGCTCCATTAGTCTTTTTTACGTTTATTTATTTTTTTTTTTACCTTTCTGCTCTAACTTTGCCCCATTCCGCGCTTCTCTATCTGTCCAGTTTTGTGAACATTGAAAATTATTACCTTTTGCATTTTCTAAAGTTATATAACACATCCGGTTTTTGTATCTTTTAATTTATGTACAAGCTACGGTATAATATACTCGCTTTCATAAAATACGAGTTAAATTTTAACGAGATGAATTATCGAATTGAATTTATTCCATGGGCAGTAGTATTTTTAAATAAAACGATGATACGAGAAATAAAAGAACACTTTATTCTCTTTAACGAATAACTTTTTTGTTTTTTTCGTTTTTCCAACGTAAATGAACTTTTGTATTTGCCTCGTGTATGAAGCTAAATAACTATGCCGTAATAAAAGTTGAATTCCAAGGAGCTGCAATCAAAGGAGAGAAAGAAAGTCGTACGTGAAAGTTGTTTAAAACTGCCCTCTCTGTTTTTATTTTTTTTTTGGACTTATTGCAATTTTAACTTTATATTTATACAGGAACATCAAGTTAATTCAAGTTGATTATCTCAAATATCAAATAGCTCTCTTACTCTCCTTTCCTTCTACAATTGAAGATAATTTTGGCATCTATTATTTCATGTACACGCATCATGTACACACATCAATTATATTTCCCATATTTTGAATAAATTTATTTTCTTACCTTTAGCACGTGGTTTAGTTAGTAATTTAGAAACAATGGTATCATAAGCCGTTTCTTCCGCCACACCAGAATCTTTAACTAATTTTTCTTTAACTGCTATGCAAATATTATTCTTCGTTAATAATTCTTCGAGTTCCTCGAAAGCCTGCGAAATGAACAAAATCATTATTTTTTACGAGAAAATATATCTTTTTTTTCACTTTTTTTCTTTCTTTGTCGATAAAAAGAAAAAAAGAAAAAAAAGAAAAAAAAAACTTACAGTCAATATAATCTTTCTTTATATAATTTATGGTTCAAGAGTTAGAAGAAGGAGTACAAAGGATTTCAATGTGTACCCCACGTAAATATCATAGAAATATGGAAAAGTTAGCAACGAACTGAGGAAACGTCTAAGATTTTAATTTTTCTCAAGATACATATATGAAAGATAAAAAGATTATTTCTTGATCTTTCCCCTTTTCTTTCTCTTCAATTCACTCAATCCCGATATACTTTTTTATTTATTGTTAGACGAATTACCTTCTCGTAGATTCTTTCTTCATTTTATTTTCTAATTGTACGTTTATTCTTTTTCTGAAATGCTTTTAAAATGCAGTATTATATTTCTGGGTGTAAAATTGCTATTTTTTTTATTGGTTTTGTTTTTATTATGGTTATACCTATATGCAACAAGTGATATTATGTATTCTGAGAGTTATTTCAATCTTTTTTTTTTCTTTCTTGCTTCCTTGTATTTTGAATTAATTCTCGGAGAAGATTTTTATACGTTTCGTGTAAAAAAAAAAAAAAAAAGATTTTTCCCTTTACTTTACACGCTTCATCATCTTCCTTGTCTTTCTTTTATTTATAAAGACATTTTTTTGTTTCAACGAGAAGAAAGAAAACAAGGACACACGAGAGGAACGAAGATATTAAACAACAAATATGTAAAACGCAAGGTAGTAGTACACACAGATAGATGTATGTATAACAAGAGGGTTCGCTTAAAAAACATAAAATATTCATAAAATTATTAGGTTATTCTCTCGAACGCGTTCTTTTTCAACATTTTTTTACAAGATACGACGTTCCCTTTAGTCCTTTGGGAATAAAGAGAGCAAAAAAAAAAATTACGATTTTAACTTCAGGGCTTCACGCTTCATGAATTTCCACGATTTTCTTTCTTTCTTTCTTTTCTCACTTTTTTTTTATTCGTCTTTTTAAGTAATCCTTTTTTTTGCATTTTTGCCATGAGAATTTTCTTTTTTTGCGGTTTAAACTACAACGATGTTCTATTGAATTTTTCTCCAATTACCACCTTCCATTCCTATTTTGATCATTCTCAAATCGAAATTTACTCTCAGTTTTTTTTTTTTTTCATTTATCCCATATTTATTGGATTTAGAAAAAAATAAAGAAATTGTTCGCGTTAATAACAATCGATATTATTATATTAAAATCAACGTCTACCACTTTAAACGTTAATTACGTAATAAATGTGTTTTGTATGTCCTTGATTTAACATTCTCGACATTTTGAAGAGTCGTCGAACGAATAGGAAAAATCGATTCCGAAGAGTCGAGCTTATCGCAACGAGGTGAACAGTTTTTCCAAAGTAGGAACCATATACCTTTTTTTTTTTCCTTCTTTTGCCCCTCCCTCCCATCCCTCCTTGTAACCGATCGAAGTTGAGAAATCGAGTGTTCTGGGCGTTTTCTAAGCTACGACACGGATCTCTGTTTAAGCTAGTGGAAAAGCGGCGTGAATAAATCAATGAGTGCCCAATATCTGGGTCAGTGGTCCCTCTACTTTTCCTCCTCCTCCTTCTTCTTCTTCTTCTTTACCCTTTTCCATCTTCTCATTCTCCTCTTAGCTTAGAACAGTCTTTGTTTATTGTCTTTCTTTAGCGAAGCGAACGACGTTACGTGATAAATTACAAGTAGTAGGAAACAGGAAGGCCCGTTTATACACGCGCACCTACATATTTCACAGACACATTAGGTACACGTTCTTACCTGTTCTAAGTTACTAAAGTATTTTCAGGATATTCAGGAATTGTGTTACTTGCGTTCGTGATAATGTTTATCGATGACGACGACGACGACGACGACATACCTAAATTATCATCATTTTTGAAGATATAATTATATTTGATTGAATCGTAAGTAAATAATATTACATTTTATAATACTCTTTAATTATGATGACACACGTGTGTATCGTTATTTTCATCCGTTAATTATTCAAAAATTGTTATGTAAATTTAAATGAATTATTTATTTAAACATTTGATAGTATGTATATATAATAAGTATCCCCCATACAAAAGTACAATAGATTTCATTTTCTTCCTTGGTAAGCTACGAATAGAAGGATTTTGTCGAACGTACTAACGTCAATTTCGTATTACTGAAGATAATCCTTCTTCGTTATTGTCGATAGAATGATTTAGAATAGAATGAATGGACGGGACAAAGACAAGCGATTTTCATTATAAAAGGTTCATGTTCAGTTAGAATTTTTTAACCTTTCTCGTGTATTATATATACGATTTATGATAATAAATGTAATAATTAATAAACAACACCGTAATGCATATTAAAATAATTAACTTTAGAATGCATCGTGCATGTAATTTCATTTGCGATTGATTTAAATTTATTCATATGTATATTCGATGTAATTAAAGATCAATCAGGTGTCTCGATTTTCAGCATATTTCGAAAGATTTCAATAAATCGCATCATTAACCGATAATGTTATTAATTTATATTGATCGATATTTATTCGTACTGTTGCAAATCGTTTATTCCTCCTCTCTCTGGAGAATGTTGAGAATCTAGTAGAAAAACAGTTTATACGGAAATATGCTATTGTTTTACGAGCTTTTGCAATTATTTACTTTACGATCGCTGTAACTATCGATATCGATGTTAATATCACTTGTGATCATAATAATCACTACTTCGTTAACACGCTGCATATTCAAATTCTCTCATCCTAAATACATATTTGAAGAACCCCGTTGTCGTTTATGGGTCATGAAAAATGACCTATAATGAAAAATAATCCTTCAATCTTACCACGTTTTTTTCGACTACTGTTTAACGAGTTTCTTAATGAAAATCATTGTGTAATAATAATTTCGAAAGTGCTCCTTCCCCAATCATTTGAAATATCGAAATAGATCCTATGGTTATTTAACAGCTTTACAAACTGATTTTCTATTCAATTATTTGTATTTTTGTATTTTTATTAACTTCATGGATCAATATTTTTGATGTTGAACTTTTTCCAGTATTCCTTTCGGTGTTTCTTATCATTTTAACCGGACAAGACAAATATTCAAGGTAAAGTGTGAAAAAGGTAGAAACGATACGTATGTATGTGTGTAATATACTCGTATATATTATAATATATTCCATGAAATATTTGTCACGGTTACGTTCATTTAATAACGAACATTTACAGAATAGTTATTTTTAATTGGAATAGCTGAAAAACTAATTTTCTTAACACACTCAAAAGTTATCATTCATAGAAAACAAAATGAAAATACGCTGTGCAATCAAAATTGTGGATGTGTGAGTATACATGTGTCAAAGCCAGTATATATATATAATGCATCTTATTATGACTATAGTTTATTTCGGTAGAATTATACATTCCTTTCTTTCTTGTTTCTTCGTATATAGAAAATTCGATGGAGGGGAGGGTGGGGGGGGGAAGGTTTGATTAGATATATCTACTTAGAGAGTTCCTTTAATTAGCTTCACTCATGAAGTTTGTTAGTTCGTTGAATTTATTCACGGAATTCTCCAATTAAAAGTTCATCGAGTGGAGATAATCGTGAAAGTCTGAGCATGTCGATCTCCTAACTGATTTTCTATTTCACGAAACAACATTAATTTATAATTGCCATTATAATATTTATTTTTTTTATCTTCTTTTTTTTTGGAGGGGGGTTTCAGAAAAATAATAACAAACAGGTTTCTCGTTTAATTTTATTCATTAGGAGATAATGTAAAGTATATAGTAACAATTGTATCATTTTTTTGTTGTTGGTATTTCTATCTCTCAATATGATTTACAAATAATTACAAAAAAAGAAATGCGTTTAATATTTATTTAGCGATAATCCATTATCGTTATATTGTGTCATTTTGTAGTATAATACGTTGGTTGGTAGCTGTTAAGTTAATCTTTGTTTCCAATAACAAGCAATTATCCGTGAATAGCTTGGTCTTATATTCGAGAACGTTATTCCTATAGAATACCCTAGAGATTGTGGATTGATGTCAGAGGATTATCCTGTGCCTGTCAGTCTTGTACCAAGCTACAATATCGCTTGTTGTATTTACAGCGAAGCCATCTGGGATGTTACATTCTATTGATACCTAATTGGTCTATTGCATAGATCTCTCTCTCTCTCTTTCTCTATCTATCTATCTCTCACTATCTCCCTTTATGATCTACATCGATCTCAAATTAACCCTTTGACTATTGTAGACGCCTATTGGCGTCCGAAACATGTTGGCTTTCCGGTACTGTTGACGCCTATTGGCGTCCAACACATAATGTTGGCTTCCGGGTACTGTTGACGCCTATTGGCGTCTAAATCAAATTTTGCTTGTTTCGCCCGTTTTAAAATTGTATAATTGGTCTTATTGTAATGTAGACTTCTAATGGTAATGTAGATTACCTATTTCGATTAACTTATTTGGGTTCATTTAAATTGAATAAAACAAATATTAAGAAAATACTTAGATGAAACTAATGAATATAAATTAAGAGGTAGAGATACCAACAATGAGCCTTTTAGTTTGATGCAAAAGCATTTTTCGTCTTATATACTTCCTCAGAAATGCATGTCTAACGAAAAATGTCGCCATACCTAGTGGACGTCGCGAGTGAATTCGTACCGTACCGTACGGCCAGTGCGTGCCAAAGTTTGCCGTAGTCAAAGGGTTAATGCCATTTTAAGACGAATAATATAATTAATCCCTATTATAATAAGCCTATGTCAAAACGTATAAAACGTTGATTTTTAATTTAAATTTCCTAACTAAAATTTCATATCTAAAATGTAATGGAAATTAGGTAATAAAAATGACGAGAGATAGAAATAATTATACATGTATTAAAGCATGATTGAAAAAAAAAAAAATTGATGAATTTTCTAAGGATTTTCTATTGAATCGTCGAAGATGAAAAGTTCAAGGAAAAGTTCGATGAATTTCTATGACCCATTTTGAAATCTCATTTAATTACTGTTGAATAACGATAAATGCTTTTCAAGTTGTTATAACAGAGGGGAATATCATGGTTTAAAATGGAATAATTTTGCTTGACGAACTTCCTAATTGGAAAAAAAAAGCGTTGACGAATAGTAGGTTGGAATATTTACAATTCTTTTTGACAAACGACGCGCACCGCGCGCGGTCTTCATAGAACACAGAGTATTATTTCATTTTCGCATACGTGTAGGACCCTTTGAGAACAAGCTACCGTGTATCGATAAAATGAAAATGGATGGGGAAGAGAAAAAACGAGTTACATCTACGTATTGGTTTATGACAAAAGTACTATCTCGCGAAAGTACTATTTTTAAAATTCATCTCTTTTATTTTATCCTATTCTGAATTATTGGATTTTGACATCTGCACGCGACGGTGGTCACATTTCTCTTTTAATTTCTATTGTTTCTTACTAAACGATTTTTCTCATTTAACATTCTTTTTTTATTCGAATAATATTTAATATTGAAATAAATAATACCGTGAGTTAAGTAGTTGCATCGATTATAATATCAAATTAATAATTTCCTAATTCAAATATTAAGGGATTCGTATAATGAGAGTTTCATAAAATTACATTTAATTTATATTTCGATGAAAACGAGATCATTATAGTTTTTCGTTCTCACCTTTCCCTCGAGAACTTTGAAATCGTCCTTTCATTTTCTCTCTTTCCTTTTCTAGTTTTTTTTCTTCTTTTTTTTTTTCCCCAAAGTTTCTTGGAAAGAAAGAAGAATCACGTTTCTGGCGGAACAAAAGCGCTTCTAATGGACACTCGCAAATATATCCTCTAGTAATTCAAGTTCCAATAAAAAAAAAAAGGAAAAGAAAGAAAGGGAGAAAGTAATTTTCTCTTATTCGTATTTGATCGTTTTAAAATTGTGACAAATTTTCCAATCCATTTTCCTATGTTGAAAAAATAGAAAAAGAAAAAAAAATAAATAAATAAAATGAAATAACAAATGTTACGAATGTGTATAACTTACTTTAATTCCGTAATTACTCTCCTCGTATATGATTGACACGTAACTCCATCCCATTTTTAAAACGATGTCTACCATAGCCTTGACCTGGTAATGATCACTCGGTATAGTTCTGCTGAAATACTCGAATCGTTGCTTATTCGAGAGTTCTGGGCTCGTTGAGAAGAAGGAGACCTGTTAACACAAAAGGAAATAAAGACAAAAGGGTGATTGCTTTTCGTGATACACAACTTAAAAGGTTACGTAATCAAATTGGACGGTAAGAGAGAAAGAAAAAAAGGGGATAGAAAGATTGACGTGAAAAATCCTAGATCAAATAGAGGACTGTTTCTTTTTTTAGGATCCTTTTTTCTTATGAAATTTCTCGGTAGAAATACAAATTATTTTGTTAATTGAAACTCTCCAATTCTTAAAGACATATTATTTTTGATCTCATTAGTAATATTTGATACATTGTGAATTTTCATATGCTAAATTCGATTTAAATTGATCGTTTTTTTCATCATTATTTCAGATCTCGATCACGTAAACATAAATCAGGATTGGAGTTGAAAAAAAAAGAAGTAAAAAAAGGAGCAAAAGGATAATGGACGGCGGGAGGAAGGGGTGTAGAAAATGTGGATTCTTATCGAGAAGGTAACCCATTAGGTTGGCCAAAGGAGTCGTGCAAATCACAAGGACACGAGAATACGCGTGAAAAGAGTGAGAGCGAAAGCATGTAATCTAATGGACCGAAAGTTACGTAACGCCCGTTTCTTCTTTTTTTTCTCTAGGGGATGTTACAAAGGGTGACGGTATGAAGGTACTGCTGGCTGTGCCAGTGGTGTCTTCCATTCCCAACCACCAAGGGAAAAGGCGGCATTCGTTGATTTATATCGACCGATGACCCTTAGGTAAAGGCAGCACTTGCTAACGGGTCAACACCTTCATTTCTACTCTCTGCTTCAATGTTCCACTTCTCGTTCAAGGATTTTACTTGCTTTTTCTTTTTTTTTTTTAATCCTCTTTAACTACTACCCTACTTCTCTCTTTTTTTATTTTTTATTTTTTCATATAAGATAAATTGAGCGTTGATACTAAACAATTTAGCAGGTATCTGTGAAGTTATCAGTCGTTAGTTGGCTATTAATAATGTTCTTTTTTCCTCTAGTTTTTCTTTTTTGTGCCTCTTAGGTTTCAAGAGGATTATAATTAATTGATCAATTATGTTAGACGTATATTTTCTTCTTTATATAACAAAATGCAGTTTCACATTGTTGGTCTCTTGTGATAATTTTTATTTTTTATTGCTAATTCAAGGATTTATTATTTTTTTTCTCTTAACGTTTCAATCGGATTAACAATTTGATTAGATCTGATTACATTCGAGAGGAGATACTTTTAGGAAAAAAACAAAAAAAAAAACTCAACTCAAATGATAATGATACTTATTAAAATCAAGAAAATTTCTATAAAGATGATTCTCTCTCTCCAAGAACAAGAAGCTTTATCTTTTGAAAGAAAATGTTTCAAGGTCTATCGATGATTTCAACCAGCCACGATGAGAAATTTGATAAACTGTAAACCTTTTAGAAGGTATTCTAGAAAAAGATCTATCTGCTTCTTGCGAAATGGAAGAAGATGAGTTTATGTAGCGAGAAACGAGTTAACGTTATCTCTTTGCACTTGGTTATAGCACTTTTCCTTTAACGAAATATCAATATACCTAGTATCCTTCAATGTAATACAGATTTAATCAAAACGTTCATACAAATATAATTTATCGTTTAGAATTTATTTTTTTCTTTCCATCTTTATCTTTCTTTTTGTTTTCACCTTGTTACGAATATATTTATCGTCGTTTGTCAGACATAGCATAGACGAATCAGCTGATTTTCTACGGAAAGTCAACTGACTCTACAAGCTAGATTTGTCTTTTATTTTTTTTTTTTATTTTATTTGTTCTCCTTTCTTTTCTAACTCCTTACTACCTAACTTTCGTTCTCTTTGTAGCGAATAAAAAATACTTCTTTACCATATCTCTCATTATTCTCCTCCTCTCGTATCTTATGACCTGTATTTTTCTGTTCTCCGTGTTATGGTAAATTTGTTCTATTTCTTTTTTTCTTTCTTTCTTAATAATTTAGTCGTTTATTAAAGTTAATATTTCTTTTGTAATATTGTCACGATTTGTCTTCATGGAGAATGTATTCGTTGCAAATTTTCTAGAGATTTCAACACAACCATATATCAAAGATACAATTATAATAATATTGCGATAACGAATGGGAACGTAAATAATTGTTTATGTAAATTGTTATTTGTCGTTTAATTTCATTTGAATTAGTTTATTTTTCTTTTATTCACGCGAATAGACAAAGATATGGCTATAGGAGTTTCTACACTTTATATTCTTAATCGATGAGAGTTTTAACACGAGTTTCAAGTGAAAAACGAAATTGCCAATTTCTTTTGTGAAACGAGCATACGACGTTAAGTTTAATTGAAACGAACCGGCTGCGTCCTACGAAGCTCAAACCGCACAAAATGACCACACGGTAAAGCGAGGAGGAGGAGGGATGGAAGAGAAACGGAGTAACTTCGATAAAGTGGAACAAACGAAACCTCCACCGATATTATCGAAATCTTCCTACTTTATATTTCTATTTTCTCTTATTCTTTTGTGTGTGTGTGTGTGTGTACAAACTAATGCTCGATTTAGAACATGATGCACATCACTTAAGCACGCAGCTGCTGCCTAAAAAGTTGCCACAAAATTGTAAACATCCTCAACGTTTCTTACCTTTAAGCGTTTTTCTACATGACGACTATACTCGAGTTAGTAAAGAATTCTTGTCAATTTGTTCTCACTGAGCATTGTTTAACGTTAAATTTAGCACGCGAGGTCAAATGACCGTGTCCTGTAATTTGTAAAATATGCGTGAAAAGGGTTAATAAATTGTCATATTAATTGCTGCAACTTCTCAACCGAAATTTCTTGCCCTATATCAGAAGTCACATATCCTGTTTTGACATTGTGGACACTTGAAGAGACAGGTTCATGAATCGTTTTAGCAATAAAATACACGAGAGTTGCGAGCGAAGAAAGTATCCTTTAGCAATCTCGATTATAAAGGATTATTTAATTAATGAAGTTTCTCAGCACGACCATGTATATACGTACGTTTATATGCATCTAGATAATAAAATACGTAGGTACATAAAAAGATATATAGATATGTCGTGAGATAATATTAAACGTTTATATATTCTATTCAACTAAACTCTCTGTAAGTGCAACTGTGGAACAAAGTTTGTTGTGTACAGACATACACTCTTTCTTAAACTTTATCCTTTGAATTATCTCATTGCAGCATTCCCAGGAGTAAAGGAATAAGACGAGGAAGAATATTTGCATAGGAATTAAATATGATTTAAGTACATGAGAATACAAAAGAAACGTGTTATGTAAATTGAGTAGACTATAAAAATAATTTGTACAAATTTGGAACGTGATTTCATTGAAAACAAATGTCTTATTTCCAAGTCCCATAGTGCGGTATGTATAGAGTGAAGTTCATTTTAAAATATAATTATTTTCGATTTTCCTATTTAATTAAGTATGCTCTTTTCTTTCCTATCGAGAAAGAGATATCTTTTAAGATTTAATTCGTTCGTTTTAAAGACAATTTGTGCTAGAAAACTTAATTAATTGTACACTAATTGCAACGGTGTATTATTTCATTTTGCAGCACTCATTTTCATTAAATGTATCCTTAGATTTATATTATTTATCGAACTGTAATTTACGTTTCAGATTTGTTCAATTAAATAAGACAGCTTGATCTAATATCTATGAGAAACTAGACATAGATAGGTAACAATGTAGATTAATCGCTTTATTCGATATCCTATGTGATATTAGAATAGATTTTAGAAGATTAGGAGAGATAGAAAGAGACCTAAACGGACAATCCTAGTTTGTGTTTATACAGTTCAATCTGTTAGATAATAATTTAATCCAGTGGTGAAAGAGTAACAATGAACAGTATTTAGATCAAATAAGCTACGCCATTGTTTGCTAAACTATTAACAATTTCAGGAGTGATTAAGAATTTTCATTTTATAGAAAATACAATTTTTTATTTTACCGGTGTTTTATTTAATTTTTATATTCATTAGACTCGTTCAATTTCGATTCATTCGCAAACTACTCCGTTCTCTTTTCTTCTCTTTTTCTTGTTCTTTTTCTTCTTCTTCTTCTTCTTCTTCTTCTTCTTCTTCTTCTTCTTCTTCTTTTATAGTAAAACACTTTCGCTGCTTAGCACTTTCGAAATTGCGTATTTCTCTGCTTTACTTTCGTTCGGTAAAAAGTGTTTCAAGAAGTTTCATTTAGAATGGTGAGAGAAACCTTATGCCAGCCATCAAGAATTACGATCGAAAATTAAATTCGCGATGCTTTCTTCAAAACCTTTACATTCTTGTCCAATAGCTCTCATTTCTTAATAGAAACATCCTTAAAAGATCTTGAAACTTTTTTTTTTCTTTATCCTGTTACCGCTAATAAAGCGTAATCCTTTTGTTCTTTTCTTTCTCTCTTTTTCTCGTGATTAATTAAACTACCAACCTCATCGATTTATAGTTTTTATAAGGATAATAAAAATAAAATTACGCGAATTATTGGAAAAATATTTAGGAAATAAAAATTACGATAGCAAAAAATTAAGTGTATTTTTTTATTCGTTCAATGTGAAAAAGACAGAAAGAAAATAATGAAACGATGCTAATTTGAAGATAAAATATTATTTTTTATTTCGTTATAATTTTATTTGGAGGCAATAGCATTACGGTTGAATTAGTCAAACTTTTGGTTAGTTGAATATCGAATAGAAATAAAAAAAAAAAAAAAAATAAAAACGAATGCGATTAAATGCTCGAAGGTACCTATACAAAATAAATTCATTGCACGGATTCGAATCGTCGGATTTCAATCGAAAAATAAAAATAAAACGAAAAAATTGAATTTTGCTTTATCTCCTCCTATTTTGAATAATTGACGTATTTATTTAGCCCATCGATTTTGTCAAAAATATGATTAAAATATCTATTATATAACGTTTTTCTCTCTTTTAACCACATAAATTTGTAAATAACGTAAGATAAAATTGATTAAATTTCGTGGTTTATTTAGTAAATATGTGGAATTCGGTGTGTGTACATTGAGAAGTTTTCCTTTACATCTTCTTTGAGCATTTCGTTAGTCCTTAGGGAAAGGAACTACGTGTTGTACGTGTAAATGAACACCTAAAAGGTTTGCTACTACGTATTTTCATGCATCTACTAGGAAAAGATGTAGTAGATAGATTTGCAGTTTGAAGTTTACATATGTGAAATAAACGTGAATGGTGCTCTTTTTTTTTATCCATTAAGTAAATTTATCTTGAAGTTCTTCTTTCTGTTTTTTTTTTTTTTTTTTTTACTTGGGGAAGGGTTCGTTTACAAAAACGTTTGATGAAAGTTTGACAAGTTAATTTGTTCACAAGAGCAAAAACTCTTTTTCTCTATTTCCCTTTTTACGTGTCAGTGTAGATACACATATGTAATATATTGTAATTCTCTTTATAAAATGAAATTTGAAATCTCCGAGGATGGATTTTATTGTACGTGCTAGTCCATATAAATTGAAACAATATTACACACATGACCATGGTTATTTTATCACGTCGATTAGAATTTCAAATTTCACGACATTCAAGTTAGTATCGTATTATTCTCTTTTCTTCTCGTCATTTCAATCCGACTCGCTATCGAAGAGATTGAATTCGGTAGATAGAAAAGTAATGGTCACGTGCGTTTTTCGCAATCCTATCTCCAATCGTGTGACACGTTTTTTATTAAAATTTATTCCACGGTAGTTAGCGATCGAACATAGGTATTTTATCGAGGAGATAGATTATATTTGTGATATTTGTGACAACTTTAATATCCGTCCCATTTGTTGTTCGATAATCATTCTAGTATTCATCTTTTTTTTTTTATATATTCATTTTAATTAATTTTCTTTTCAACGTGATTGATATATTTTTTTGTCTTCTTCTAAATTAATACAAATTTAATCACTTTTTATTTGTCTCCTTTCTTTTTTTTTTTTTTTTTTAAATATATTATCTTTAATTTATTATTTAATATGTCAATATATTATAATAACATTATCATTGTTAAAAATTTCTTTTATAGTCGAAATACGAATTATTATTATTAATATTTAGTTAAAAATAAATAAAAAAAATATAATATAGATTATAGTTTAATTCGAGGGATTAATGAAAATCGAAAGTTAAATAAAAAAAGTGGTAGAACTTTCGTTACGTGTTATTCATCGTATGCAGGCTGTTCAAACTGACGTGACTTCGTTTGAATATTCTGGGTAAGCCGGATGCTGCTTTAGGTATTTAAATGTGTCGCCAAGATTATCTGTATACTAGAGCGTAAGCAAGGAGTAACATGATTTTCCAGTACAACAAATCTAGAACGTGGACCTTTAAGGATATTTTTCCTTTTTATTTCATTATTTATTTATTTATTTATGAATACGTTCTTTCAAAGATCACAGTTTCTTCATGAAATATTTTTTTGTTCTTACTTTTCATTCTCTTTGTATCTATGTGTGTATACTAGATTAAAAACAAGATAAACTATTTCTTTTGATACAGTCTTTTAAACAAAAAAATGTGAAAAGATATAATATATTTAAATATTTTCTTTTTTTTTCTTTTTTCTTATTTTAAGTCGATTATTTCTTCTGTCAAATGCATGGAGAATATTGTGGGGAAATAGATCAACGAAAATTGCGAATCGAATAGAGAAGAAATAAATGTATTTCCGTAGAGATGATGTGTATACAGGGTGTGTCGGAAGAAACGTTTCAAATTTAACACGTGAAAATAATTTCATATGAAGAAAACCAATCGAATTGTAAACCTCAGAAAGAAGCTCGTTCTTTAATTCTTTTATGCTAAACAATTGGAACATTTAATGCATTTAATCTATAAAATTCAACCTATTAGAAATATTGCAGCCGGTACACACATAATACAAAAGGTACGAATTAATTAGAGAGTTTTCTTTTTTGTTTACAATTATTTTCACGTGTAAAATAGAAGGGTAGAATTTAGGGCGATTCTTCCCAATTCACCCTATATATATATATATAACATAAATACATATAGATACATAGATACATACCTGGGGAATTCTGAATAACCGAAGAAGATTGGCCACTTGGATCGATGTTACAGAACTTGCAGCTCCCACGACGCCGCTGATAACTTTACGAACGGTGGTTTTATTGCAATGGTATTCCGCACCGTCGATATTGCTTATCGATCCTAAAAAAAAAAAGAACAAAGAAATAGCACAAAAGAAAAGTTATTAGCTAATTATCCTTAATACGAATTGCGATTTTTTCTATTAAATATGAAAAGTGAATGCAACTCGACGATAAACGAAAATTATATTTTACACATAGATGCTAGTTAGCGTTTTTTAATCTTCTCAATTGTTTTTCGATATTTTACGTGGATAGAAACACAACTGGCTCTGTGAGAAAATAGGAAAATATCGTTAATTTTGCATGAGAAACACATGAAACGTGTTGCCTTTTAAATCCTTTTTAAATTAAATTAGATTTCGGTATGCGATACCGATGGTGTGGTATTATTTTGGTCTATTCATTGTTGAAACTTGAAATGAAATCATTTCATTCTTCGGAAGAACGAATACTCGAATGAATTAATTGTTTAATTAATCGTTATCTCCGAGATATTCATTTTAACCAGGAATCTACATTTCCATTTCAAATGTTGTTTTAAATAGTTGAGAATATCTTAATCTCTCTCTCTCTCTCTCTCTCTCTCTTTCTATCTTACTTTGCTTCTTTTTTGTTTATTTTTCAAGGTTATCAATTTATACATTTTTAACATTTATCTGGGAAATTTATTTGTACGAGTTTGCGGGTAACGTAAAATATTATGTAAAAAAATATTACCAACGAAACGTTCGTTTCCTTTATATACATCGTCTACTTTATATACATTCAAGTATTTATATATATATATATGTGTATATGTATGTATACGTATTGCGATATCAAGGTAGATTCGCAACAGTGCGGTAATAGCACCTGTTGAATTGAAGACCAATTCACGTAGAGAACAATACCAAACTAGCGTTTCTCCGAAATTATTTTTTTCCTCTTTCACTTTATAAACACGAAAACATATTTTTCCATCCTACGCGGGCGCTCGCGTATATAAATACTAAAAATCTACCCTCGAATAATCCGCATTAACCAATTTCATTAAATATTTCACACCAAAATATCAACGTTCTAACGTTTATTGTTTTTTAATTAGACGAAATATTTATTATAATATTCGTTATACTTTAAAAAAATAAAATAAATCTTTCGAGAGAAATTTTAACGAAGGAATATTTTCATAAAGGAAATGACCAAAGGTACATCTCGTTAGGAAAATAAAGATATTATATGTTTCGACGCGTGTTGAATAAATGTCACATAAAAGAAAAAAAGAAAAAAAAGTCGTAAAAAACTTTTAGTATCACGAGATACATCATTTATTTATAATCATTCTAAATTTTATAGTGTTATCATGGTAGAAGTTAATTATAAATGATATTAATTAGAAAATATTCATTTCTATTTGGCAAGTAAGTATCAATCAATGTAACAGTGGTAGAGTAGTAGCAGTAGTAGTTACGGTCTAATATAAATCAGACATGTGTCTGGATTGCTTCTGTATCGCGTTAGGATCGTCTAGAATTATGCGAAACGTGCTAACTATACTACTAGTATAATGTGTACTGCGAACCAATATAGGTAGGTATGTATAGGTATGTGAAAATGTATGTTTGTATGTTTATCTATGTGTGTACGTAGAGGTTTGCATTACCAACTCTCGTTAGCATTGCTCGCTCGATAGTAAACTATCCGTGACAGTATTAAGGATTTAATTAATACCGGTAATAGTAGGAACATGCGTATAGTTAGTATTTGTCTCTATGTGTTTCATTATCTATCTATTTCTATAATCAAAGATATAAAAAGAGAGAGAGAGAGAGACTAAGATTTGTGCTTTTTTAAAATCAAACGTGTCATATTTTGAATAAATATTGAAAAGATAAAAGGTAAATATATCGTAAATCGATGAGTTAGTTTCACACAAATTCGTTGAATTGTTATCCAAAGGAATTATGGCAACGTGAGGAGGAATCGAAATAGTGAGAAACAGAGGATAAAGTTCATGTGTTTGCATTTCTTTATTATTCGCGTTAAAGAATTGAATAGTCGACTAGAGAAGATTAAAGCCGTTTCGAAGGAAGTTGAAATTTCCTAACCCTTCAAAGTTTCACCCGAAACTTCTAATTAATTCATCCTAACGAACGTTTGACCTAACTCGTATAATAATTAGGAACGTGTTATTGCGAGATGCGTAATCCTTTGAAAATCGAAAGAAATAAATAAAAAAAGATATAGAGAGAAAGAAAGAAAGAAAGAAAGAAAGAAAGAAAGAAAGAAAGAAAAATGATATCGCAGCATTATCCGCGACACGCATTTCTTCTTATAAAAGTAAAAAAAGAGAAAAAAGGAAGAAAAAAAAAACAGAGAGGGGAAATGCTGAGGGAGCGAAAGTGTTAAAGAAAAGAAATCGAGAAAAAGTTGTGATAAAATATAACACAAAAATAAGACTAATAAAAATAAAAATAATAATAATAATAATAATAATAATAATAATAATAATAATAATAATAATGAAAAACCAGAAAGAAAATAATCGTCGTTCATGTGCAGTTGGGGTGTTGCAGCACCAATAAAACGCCAGCGAGTTCTTTCTGTCTTTCTACGAGCACGTTCGCAACCTTGTACGTGCCTCTTTTTATGGAATATTTTCTAAGACAGCTTTACATTATACTTCTCTCTCACTCTCACTCTCACTCTTTCTTTCTTTTTTTTTTTATCATACTTTAATGTTTTCACATTATAACTCGAGGATACATTACCTGCATTACGAAATATATACGTATATTTCACGTAAATGCATTTCTTCCACACAATTTTTGTTCTTTTAATATTTTAATTGATTTCTAATAAACCTATACCTACAGTATATAACATTTTATTTATTTATTTTTTTTCCATTTTAGTTATAATATTATTTATTCGAGTACGTGTGTGTTTTCGAGGCTACGAATAAAAGAAGATGAAACAACTCGTGTTTTCCATTTTTGATGGGAACAAATATGAGCATTTTTGAAATGTGTATATTTGAGTTTGTTGAAATAATGGAGGGAATAAAGGAATCCATTAATTATTTTCATCGAGATTGTATGGAATTTTTGTTTAAAATAATATGTTGAAATTAAGTAGGTCAAATCGAAAGAGGTAATAAAAAAGCCTCGTTGTTTTATTTCAAATTTATTTATTTATTTATTTTTTATTATAATCAATGAAATATATTTAAAATCCAATTTTCAAAATTCAATCAAATTGAGCAGTTTTTTATTTGACAGAATATTTTATTCGTAACGGGACTTTGATCATTTTGATTTATATTAAATTCGTTATTGAATTTAACACGGATTAATCATTGCATATCAATCTCAACATTCGGTTCTCGATTTCATTATTTAACGTTAGTTCGATGTCGTAGATCGTACGTTTTAGTTAGAAGTTGGACCTTTACTCTATCATGATATTCGTACGAAGCAGAATTGTCGTGGAAAATCAAATGGATTTGAAGGGAAAGTTTGGAGATTCGATCTAAAGGCAGCGTACTTCATAGATCTATCTTCGATAACGTTATATACAAGATATCAGCCGAACGACCATGTTGCGCCATTGATAAACCTCCGACTATATTTTCGTATTACATTCAGACCGTGATTCACGGAAAACTTTTTATAATATTCGATATAGAAAATATTAAAAAACTATTGAAATGTCAAGTTCAAATATCATGCAAAAGAAATAGAAGAGTGTTAGTGTTGAATATAATATCAAAATCTGCGACAAATGTATTTCAAAAATAGAATATATACTAAATATGTGAAAATTATTTTAAATTTTTCTATAGGTTTCTATAGAATAAAAATGTTAATAAATTTCTATTTTCATGTGTTTGAATCAAATTGATTGATTCCACGCAAAATTGGTATGTAGTATTAAATTCATTTAATTCAAATTTCAAGTTTTGTTAATGAAAATAAATATTTGATGATATTTTTAGTCAACGTCAAGTGTTATCATCTGACAAAAAATTAGCCACTAATTGGATACAGTTCTATTTAAATTCGATGAAAAAAAAAAAATCAATCAATTTCTCGTTTTTCGTTGACTATATTTCATTTTTCTTTTTTTTTTTGTTTGTTTAGTTTTTCTCTTTAGGTGAAATAATATCAAAATCAATCGATATACATACATATGTGAAAGCCGAACGCGCTGACGAAGGTGATTTTTGTGTGTGTGTGTGTGTGTAAAATAATAAAATCCATGATGAAATATGCTCGGGTGTTTACTTTCTCGTATCGAGTTTTTTTTTCGTATTCATTTCTATATTGTATGTATGGATTAAAACATTGAAAAGAAACGGAAATATGCGTATGTAGAAATATATGTTATCTATGTCTACTACTCGAATGTGATCGTTATCAATATATAAAAGCTTTTTACCCTTCTTCTTCTTCTATCTTTTTTCAATTAAACGATTAGGTTCATTTCACTTTATTTCTTTTTGTTTTTTGTTTAAATGGGAAAAAATTGGACAAATTTTGTTCGACTACGACTACGACTACGACGACGACGACGACCACAACGAAAATATTTTATTTATAGTCAGAATAAATACGCGTTTATTTTTTTTCATGTCTTTTTTTTTTTCGTTATATAGAAAACAAATAGTAGGAATAACATTTTTGTGAAGACAGAAATACGAGTCCGATAGGGTTTACTCGAATTTATCGATGTCGGCTCGTCCCTAATTTCCGATCCCATTGGACGACGAAGCTTTTATACCCAACCGAAACTTTTGACGCACCCTTTTTCGATCCTACGAAAAATGCTTTTTTGTTCTCTTCTCCTGTTCCGTATAAAATGTTCTTTATATCGTTTCTTTCGTTTTTCACAGAGAGATTTTAGTCAGCTGGGAATTTAAAAAAATCGCCCTTCTTTATTTTGATTTCATATTTTTTTCATTTTATTTTTTTTATCGATCGGTATCGTTATGTATGATTTTTCACCAATAGATATTAAGAGAGTTAACGAAGAGATTAACATTGTAAATACTATTCGACAAAATAATGATTATCTCTT